TGAAACGTTGGTTAACATCGACCAGACTACACAGCGCAACAACCCAGAAGACAGAAATCTTCATACTCATCGCCCTGATGACGGAGGCAGTATGACCACTGAAACGTTGGTGAACATCGACCAGACTACACAGCGCAACAACCCAGAAGACAGAAATCTTCATAAAGTCTACTTTACAGAATCACTGTTTATGCAAAAAAGTCCCTGGTATATACAGTGAAGGCACTTGGGAGGAGAGGAGGTACGGCTACTACTCATTTCTGAACTCAGTGCTACATATCAGTATCACGCCTCACCTGCACTTTAACCCCCATGGGAAGGACCCTTGTTACCCATTGGACAAGAAGCTGGGTGAGCCCCAGAGCTGGTCAGCATGCAGAGGCTAGAAGAAAAATACTTTGCCCCTGCAGGGGATCAAAATCTGGTCACCCAGTCCATAGTTACACACTCATTTCCATTCAGTAGTTCCTGTCTGCCCGGCCACATTGAAGAAAATGAAAACTGAGGCAGAGCAGAAGACAAGACAAACAATTATCTCATTATGGTTATAATTATAATATGAGGTAAAAATTTTGCGGCATACCCAGATGGCCTCCGCGGCACACTAGTTGCACATCACTGTCATAGCTGACAAATTAAAAAATTAAAATAATGAGAATCTGTATTGGTGGAAATTTATTGCTAAACTATTCATAATTGTAGATACATTGTTAATTTATGCTAGCTGAACAGAATAGGGGGAAGCATTAAGTTCTTCCCCAAACTGCATCTCAATAGAAAAATTAATACAAGAAAAGAATCTTGTCTGGAATAACAAATTAAAATGGAAATAGCCCAATAACCAAAGGTAATAGGGAGTAACTTAAACAGCGAATATACATAAACTGTTTTGCTACTTTTGTTAATTTTCATTTGAACAAGTGAATAATATAAATGGAACTTGCAATAACTAAACATGTGGTTTAGTATGTTGGTTTTCACTGGGTATTGGTCTGAGGGGAAGAGACCGCTGCGGAGACCTAGACGTAGATGGGAGGATAATGTCAGGTGGGCTCTATGGGAGATAAGAGTTGAAGGAGACTGGATTTTGTTGGCCCAGGACAGGGTCCGGTGGAGGGCTTTGGTTAATTCGGTGATGAACCTTTGCGTTCGGTAAGCCATCTAGTTAGTTAGTACAGCATATGACACTCAGTGGGTCAGTACTTAGTCATCTGTAAAAAATGGCCCAAAGGACAAGGATTTCTCTTATAATCTGCATTCAGTGCCACCTCCTGTACTGCCACTAAATCTTAAAATTCTACTCTGGTAATTCTGTTACTACTGATTTCAAAGAATCTTACCAAAGTTCCATGTTTCTCTAAACATCTGGAGATGATCATCATCATTCATAATCTCAGAACATGCAATGCCACGACATCAAAGGTCCTATTTATCAATACACGTGGAAGTTCTTTAAGATAAGGAAGTATCATTACTTGTTTACAGAACATTGTATTTTTCACACTTCAAACTGTTGATTATATATAGAAAACAGCCATTGCTACTGACAATTAGTCTGCTTGAAAATTAACAGGAAAGTACTACAATTCTAACGGCAATTAAGACTATGAGACTGAGCCAAACATCCACTTCCACACCCATTAACATTGAATTTTGACCTACAATGTATTTCTTCCATTACAATTTGTAATTTATCGTCTTCTGAATACAACTGCCCTCCATTATTTCAACTGATTCCCATCATTAATTTCTGCAATGCAATCTGTAATATATATACAACCATAATTCTTCTACAATATTTTTTTTACTCTGTCTTTCATCTTTTCTACAACAGGATCTGGCCATCTATTTAGCATTGTTTGGCTACTATATGCAAGAAAATAAAGTGTTTTCACACCTAAATACATATTTTCATTGTATGATATACATGCATATTAGACCTTTAACTTTCAATATTAAAACATGAGTTTGTAGATTCATTTTAATCCAAACTTGCTTCTCCCAGAAACTCATATTTGTTTAGCAGGATTTGAGGTTCTCATTGCAGCGAGTACAAGGATAGCTGTCTTCTCGACTGTAGTACCATGCAGTCAATCACCCTAACTATGGAGGCAGCAATGACCTGTTAAATACTGGTAAACGTCTACCAGACTCCATGGTGCTACAACCCAGAATACAGCCATCTTCATTCCCCATCATATTTGTTGTCTGAATGTAAATATTTACCGGTAACTTCATATATCAGGAAGCCAAGACGCATATGTGCAAACTTGGATGGTTTATGAGTGAGAACAGAAAATTTGACAACTAGTCCTAGTAATTTCTACTCTCCCATAGCTCTGTCCTGCGCACCATTTTAAAAACCGTCTCATTATCTCATTTCACTGTAAATATTTACCGGTAACTTCATATATCAGGAAGCCAAGACGCATATGTGTAAACTTAGATGGTTTATGAGTGAGTAGCAGAAAATTTGACAACTAGTCCCAGTAATTTGTACTCTCCCATAGCTCTGTCCTGCACACCATTTTAAAAACTGTCTCATTATCTATTTCATGATACACAAATTGTACAGAATTAGAAACAAAACATGATAATTGTGTCCTTGAAGGAAAGAAACCACTCAACATGATATAAACACTTGACAATAAATGCACAAGTTGGTAATTATCATCTGGCAAAGAGGCTATTAACACAAGAGCAAATCAATTTAGATTAAATTTTATGTACAGAATTCAGATTCAGTAGGTATAAGACAAATCAAATATCCATTATTCACTATTTGGACAACCGATGACCTTGTACAGAGAGATAACAATTAAGAGTTTAACGTTTCATCACACCACCACCACCTCTATCTCAGTAATTCCAGGTGTTAATTCTCAGGAGTCACCAAACTGTCACACAATAAGGCCACACATTACAAATTTTGGTTTAAATCTTGGAGCATGAACTATAAACCTATTACTTCGCTACAGATTGCCAAACAGACACAACGAAGAACATTCTCCGTTTTAGATAGTGTAAATGGAATGCCATGAAGATAAAGGATTCATTTACAGTGGGATCTTTTATCTTATTTATCAAAAAGGTTCTTGTATATTTCCAGTCACATTATCCATTTCTTCAGCTTCCCTCCTCCCCCCATTCTATTGCCCTACCATTTAAAACAAACAGCAAGGAATAAACCTGTGGCCATTAAACATGTAAAAGATGGTCATCCCTACTTCATGCAATGCAAAATTAAGGACTGAAGTTTAAACTTCAGTTATTTTGAAAGTAAATCAATACTTTTAGTGGCTTATCAAATACAACAACACACCACATAAGATAAACTAGCTCAAGAGAGGTGTTTCCTATATAAGACATGCCGATTACCGAGAAGGGGACAGATTAATTTGTGTGCAGGGACCATGTCGCTGCAACGGGTTATTACGGTAGCTGTGCTGACAGTCACAATCTGTGTGGCAATAAATGCCACTTCGTTAACAGGTAAGTTGATCTACAATGCAAAGTATCAGTTGTCGATAACAGAGAGAAAAACTATAATTCCTCAGATAAATATTTCTTGGTATATTAAAATATGTGATTACTATTTAAATATTAAAAGTAACTGGTGTCAAATATAGAATGTATTTAATGTCATGAATAAACCTTCATTTCAAACTAAAGAGTTGTTGTACATGTAGAATTTTCATTCTTCCAAAGCACACACTTTTTAAACATGTAATTATGAAGGCAAATTTGGGAAGTGTTGTAGCATTATTTTATTTTAAATATCTTAAAGAGCATAGTATAAAATAAATTAACCCAAAGCAGTCTCCCAACACACACTTAACGATAGAAGACAGACCAAATATTGATCCTTCTCGATCAGTTCCAACGTTAATTTACAAAATGGAACATGCTCTGGTTGTTCATATATAAATCAGGCATACGTCCTCAAATAAATAGGTTACATAGTGGTAGGATGCGCTAGAAAGAATATACAAAGAATATTTTAAGGTATTATCCCAGCATTTCACTAACCAAACTGAAGAAAACCAGAAAAATAGTCCGTGAGTAAAGGAAACCCAAACACCAACAACTGAACCTGAGACCTAAATACAAAGTAGAAGTGCTAACCACTTCAGCAAGCACAAAGTTTGGTAAAATTCTGTGAAATGTATGTACTCTCTGTGTAAAGGATGAACCAAAGAGCACTTACGCTTAGCACATGCACAAACTATGAGACAAATTTATTTTATATGCTGTAGTTCACTATTTTCCGCCACGGTGGTCTAGCGGTTAGAACGCTGGCCTTGTAATCCTGGGGGTCTCGGGTTCGATTCCCGGCGGTGCCCGAATTTATAACTTGTGTTGGGCGAGGCCGTGGTCTAGGCAACACGGAGTTTTCCTCCGTGGCATCCCAACAATTACTCCATTCACACACAGAAGAAGGCAATGGCAAACCACTTCTGGATCATCTGCCAAGAACGTCTATGAACAGGTCCCAGTCCGAGAAAAGGATGGAAGGATCCTGTTCATATGGACCTGTCCTCAGACAGAACACTAAATAATAATATAATAATAGTTCATTATATATTTACACACATTTCAAATTTGATCTCTGAATAACAGGTTGACTTCAATGGTACTTGGCCCCCCACACATACAAATAGAGTAGCCATGCTAAATTAACTATCAAAAATAAAAAAGTATGCTTGTAACTAACATGAACTGGCTACCTCAAAGTCTTACATGTTGCATTTTTTCTGAGGCAGAAAGACAGATGAGAGACGAGGTGTTACATGGCTTCAGACAATTTGATATAACTGGGAAATTCACACCGCAGCTCTCTGCGATAATGAAACAAATCCCTCTGTCATCTGCCTTCGGTACAGAACCATTCAAACCATCGACCGAAACGCGTGACAGTGTCATCTGTATGGGATGTACTGCAGCAGTTGATGTTATGAAAGAATATATAGCAAGTCATACAAGAGATGAAGTTTTCAACGTTGTGCATACAATGTGTATTGAATTTACACAATATAGTACAGAAGTTTGTGCTGGATCTATTGGATTACACTTGGTAAGTGAATTCCATTCTTTAAATTAATAATATAATTTTCTTCCTTAGCATAATTTTATTGATAGTTGATGTAAGGTTAAGTCATTGAAAGTTAGTAACACAGCATAATTTTATTGATAGTTGATGTAATATTAAGTCATTGAAAGTTAGTAACATAAATTTCTTCTAATCACAAAATTAAGAAATTATGGTTAAAATATGGTTAACCAACATGACGTGTGTGTCGGATATACACACGCATTTATGATTGCGTGTGTTCTTGTATGTTTGTCACTCACTTTTCACATTTTAAAATTACAAACATGTTTTAATAACTGTATATGTTTCACAGGACTCAATAATCTACATAGTTGAGAACACAGAAGACCTCCCTGCTGCCCGAGTCTGTGGAATCGTATTTCAAGGAAACGGTTGTTCGAGAGACGAGCCTAGTCTTGAATGGTCTATTGAGATTGGGCCAAAACCAGAAGCCAACAAAATTGATAACAAAAAAGCAGACGTAAAAGTAAGCAAACATGCCATTCTTTTGCATAAGAATTCTTAACACGACGACGTTTCCGACTCTTGAAGCAATGAAAATTTGTTCATCTCTAAGTACAAATTTATATGTGAATGTGTTGTTTCATCAAATGACTGTTACTGTGATTTGTAGTCACTAAATAAGATGGTCCATTTGGTAATGTTCTCTTCAGACGAAAAGGCAGATTTTCTTCTCTGATGATTTCAGATTCCATGAAAACCGTTATTTCCACATCTATCACTGATGAAAACTTTTTGTCACAGCCAATCTTATTCTGATGCACATGCCTTGTTTTGGGTTTTTATGTTCCTCAGTAACATTACGTGCAAAAGCTGGAGGGTAAAGAATGTTGCCATCTCCATAACTTTCTGTAGGGGTTGGTCAAGTGTTTTAACCCCCTTCCTTTCATTGTATGCCGAGTAAACAGATGATGTTTCCTAGGTAACCATTGTCGATTGATGATCTTACACATTTTTGTGACCCGTCGTCGTCACACTTTTTTGCCGAATGACCTTGATAGATGAAAGGAGCTCCGAAAGGAGAAACCAATAGACGAAAAAAGCAAAATTATCGAGAAAGAACGACTCTATAGAAAGGAGCGCGTTGCTCTAGTAAAATATACGCTTCATACTTGGATTAGTGGGATGCTCTACGAGTCTGAATTCTACAGCACTGCCTCAATCAAGCAAAGGATGTTAAAAATGTTTCTCCATATTTCGTTAAAAACGTTTTTCATACAAACACCCCCCCCCCCAGGGGTGCGCGCTTCACACTTTGGGAACCTCTGCACTGAATGTTACCCTTTTCGCCGTTCGAAACCATTCAACTAATTTTCACTAAATTTAGTGCAAACGTCATATCACACAAGCAGTTATGACATCGTGGCTGTCGCGCTAAAGTTATTATTTCAGCAGAACGAATGATAACAACGCGTAACAACTCTAAATCTTTCCTCCGGCACCAAAACGCAAAGTTATAAGGCTTCAGTAGTCTGTGTCTGTGTAGTGTGTGTCAGAACACGCTTGCCTTGTTCAAACTCTTCCGACATCGATCCCAGTACCCCCCGCGAGCGGCTTACTCAAGATTAATAGTCCAGAAGTGTAACAAAGAAACTTCTGGGTTATATAGTGACGAAAAACCGTTTGTTTCGTCCTGATAATAAAACAATTATTATAAATCGTACTATTGATCCTTTATGACAGAGCTAAATTCTACATACCAGAGAATAACGACTGGGGGTCTGTGACGAAGAATGGCTCATGGAATGGACTCATCGGAATGCTAACGAGAAACGAAGTCGACATCGCAACCACAAACCTCATCGCCACTGCACAGAGATTGGACGTCGTAGATTTCATCAGTCCCATAGCAGACGTTAGGTAAGACACCGGGTGGCAGTTTACTGTACTCATTTTCCTCAATACTGGTTTATTTAACCCATTGCAATCCAGTACTATCTAGACCAGTGGTATTCAACCTGGGGTACGCAAAGACATCTTAAGGGGTACGTGAAATTTAAAAAAAAGAAGTTATTTTATAATAATCACTGAATAATCTGTAATGTAATTTATTTAATTTATTTTAGATGTAGATTATATACTATGCATAACTTGAATTATACACCAACATCTTTGGGGGTACAAAGTTGAAGAGAAATTATATCTGGGGGTACGCGAAGACATCTTAGGGGGTACGTGACATTTTTTAAAAAATATATTATTCTATGATAAACACTGAATAATCAGTAATGTAATTTATTTAATTTATTTTAGATGTAGATTATATACTATGCATAACTTGAATTATACACCAACATCTTTGGGGGTACAAAGTTGAAGAGAAATTATATCTGGGGGTACGCGAAGACATCTTAGGGGGTACGTGAAATTTTAAAAAAATAATATTATTTTATGATAAACACTGAATAATCAGTAATGTAATTTATTTAATTTATTTTAGATGTAGATTATATACTATGCATAACTTGAATTATACACCAACATCTTTGGGGGTACAAAGTTGAAGAGAAATTATATCTGGGGGTACGCAAACAAAAAAATGTTGAATACCATCAGTCTAAAGCATTGATGTTAGTAAATAAATGTATATATTATTAATATTAATATCAGGCTGAAAGATTTCTGAGCATAGTTTGTAAACAATTTTTCAGGATGCTGATTCTCTTACTGTCATACATATGACAGATATCCACCACGATCCAATATATTTAGTAGGTGGGAATACAGCATGTGGACAACCGATGTGCTGCAGAAGCGTTCAAGGCAGTCCGCCAAATGAGGAGGCAGCAGCTGGTTACTGGGGTGATAACAGAGGCTGTGACATACCACTGCATCATTTTGTAGCTACACTGCAGCAAGTTAAGGCAGCCCATCAGGTAATAAATTATTATTTTGAATGCAACTGGACGTTTAAAAAAATAAGAAAGTAAATTCCAGAATGAAGGATCATACACACAAAGACTGAAAAGCTAGTGGCACAAATTCACATTCTGGGTCTCCATTTTGACTAAATCTGCACATTACATAACAACTCTAGAGTGGACTCTACTGGCACAATGCTTATACCAAATTACATAAAAATCCATCAACTAATTGAAAATTAACGAGGAGATGCAAAGACGCACGTATACACAAACTCGCATACAGATGACACCACAAGTCTGCCTATCTGTAATTCTTTTTAATAAATTGCCTAGAACAAAATCCAAAGTAAATTATAATTGCCAAATAAAACATTAAAGTTTCAAACCCTTGCTGTTTTTGTAATTGTTGATATGCAAAACATATTTCATGCAGATATTGTAGATATGTTTATGATTCATAGCTTTACAAAATAACACACATCTAAGTAGATGGCTGTATTCTGGGTTGTTGCGCTGTGTAGTCTGGTAGATGTTTACCAACGTTTCAGAGGTCATACTGCCTCCGTCATCAGAGTATGAAGATTTCTGTCTTCTGGGTTG